TCAAGGCCACAGAAGGAAAGAAGGGCTGGAGACCATCTCAGGCTGGGGGCAGCGGTGGACCCCCTCGGGGCCGTGGGCCCCCCTGGACTGGCCCCTGGCGCAGAACAAGGAGCCAGCAGGACCGCCGGGAAAATTCAGATCAGGTGTGTGAACCGGTCAGTCACCTGTGACCTGCGTTAATTTCCTGGTGCCACTGATTATGCTGTGGTGGTCTCAGAGGTCAGCCGTCAGGGTACCCAGCAACTCTCTGAGTGTCCTGTAATCTTCTCTGTAAACTGGTTTCCAAGGGGACAGTTAAAAACAAGAGGAGGGTGGGAAGGCCTTTCCTTCTTTTCACCCGGGGCAGGTGGGCAGGAGGCTGGATTTCAGGGAGTCCATTACTGAGTGCACGCCAGCACAATGCTTCCTGGTTCGGAATTAAACGTACACCAAGTCAATGTTAATTAGGTGACAAGTTGCATAGACTCTGCTGGTGCTGACTGACCCTTCGAGGGCCCTCTGGGGCTCACGGGGCTTCCCTGCTTTCTCTAAAGTTCTATTTGGGCCACAGACGCCATTGGTTTAACAGTGAAATGGTGTCTGGTTTACGGGAACAGGGGTACACACTGTCACGCACTGGTTCTGTCCCCTCGGTGAGGCCCCACACGGGCCAGGCAGGCGAGGGCCTATCCTCGGGTCGTGCTGGCGAGGCCGTGACCAGGGTGAGCAGTAGAACAAGAACGGGGCGGGTCTGGTCCAAATCCGCCCGGAGCACCCCTGCACTTATTACGGCCAAGGACGTTTTCCGAGGTGGCGGTAGGGGAGGTCATACAGACTTCTGGTCCGTTCGTGTGACTTTTCCAAGCTCTCTGCCCTGGGAACACCCCTCTGAGCACTGTCTTAATTCAGCTGGAGCCACACTGGGCAGGGCGGGATTTGCATGTGCCCACAGGCCCGAACCCAGGTGCCCGGGGAGGGGGGGGGCGGGGTCAGCTTTGTGATAAGATGGAGACAAGGACATGTTCACTGTGGCTGAACCTGCAGTGTTGACATGAGAGGTGTGGACAGAGGCGGGAGCGGCTGGTGACAGGAGTCCCCAAATGGCGCCCAGTGGGGCTCGTCCTCAGGCCCCGAGGCTCAGTCACCGAAGGCTCTTCCAGAACCGATGGCTCGGGGTCTGCCTGAGTCCAATGCGGCACAGTCTCGCGTGCCTGCCTGTCCCTGTCCCCCTCCGTCTCTGCCCCACACACGTCCCCTGTCCCATGGGGGCCTCGAGAATGATTCCCATGGACAGGGTCACGTAGTTGAAAGGTATCCATACCCCCCGAGTTATTTCCTGCCCAAACTATGTGTCCGGACCCCCTTGAACCTCTGCTTCTCAATTTAGAAACCATAGTAGCTTCACTGTGAAAGAAAATCAATGTTCTCTCTCCGTGCTATTTCCAGAGTGATGAGTCAGGTGTCCTGCCACCAAACCACCCTAGAGGAAAGGATGCGTGGCTGGATCCACTGCACACGGGGTTCTTTCATGGCAAGAGACACCGCAATTACCAGAGCACGTTGCGCAGAGAACCAGAGCCGGCAGCCCTCGGTCGGGGGCGGCGCTGAGGGAGAGTCCACAGGCCCGGCGTTGGAGTCGGGCTGGTGGTAACCAGGAGCCTTCTCTGCTGCACCCACCGTCACCCAGGTTCTGCATACGAGCCCCTGCACATTCAATACACAGATAATTTTGGCGCATGACATCATTCACCACATTTAGACGCTCCAACCGTAACCATGGCAACCTTGCAGCAAACATAGCTGAGCTGGTAATTTCACTCCAAATGAAGTAAAAATAGGGCTAATCCTATTATTGTTCTTAACAATTTTCTAAGTAACTTCTTCTTAGAGTGTCCTTGCTTGTATATTCCATCTTGTTAAAGTAGCTGACCATCCTGGAGAATTACACGAGCTTGTGTACCTGGGCTGCCCACCAGCATCAGCATCGGTGGCAGGGACCCCGCGTGACCTTGAGCTGGGAGTCACCGCCCTGCTGCTTAGGGTCCTCTTTGGAGTTCAGGGGTGGGCTGATCCCTTAAACACACCAAGTTGGAACATGCAACCATTACTCCAAAATGACAGTAAAGCAATGGTCTTTGGAAGACAAGCCGTGTCATGCATTTCCATACATTTTAAAAAGGTACTTCAAGGGATTTCGTTTTCTATGGTGAATGTGCTTGTCCACATTCCAACAGTTATTTAGGAAAAACTTTTCCTCGTCAGCCCCCACCAAAAACTCACTGAGACGGGAGCTCCATTCACACGGGGTTGAGAGATTTCCGGTTGCAATTATGGTGAACACTGAATGTCACCCGGAAAAGCCCTGTCTTCCCCGATGGCCTGTGGACACAGTGTGCGTGAAATCGCTGCACCGCTGGCTCATCCCCACCCGGGAGTTTCCCCTCAAGGCTTCTGCACCCACTGGCCATCCTGAGACAGAGCCAATGTAACAGCCTGACCGGGCGGTGGGCTCGGACCTGGACTGTCCTCCTGAGGACGGAGCTAGGGGGAAAGGAAGTGCAATTTGGAGTCCACAACCTTGAGCCTGAGCTCCGCCCTGTGCATGCTCAGCTCCTTCACCAACAGCCACCCTTGGGGCTTCTGTGCGCATCCCGAAGGACCATGGATGCCATCGAAGGGACAGGGTTATGGACACAGAGCCATCTGAGGACAGTTACCGAGAGAGAGCATGGCAGGCCAGAGGGCCGCTGGTTCATCAGCACACGCGATGCAAGCTCCCACCAAAAGCTGCCCCAGCAACCGCCCCATTTCCCCAGTTTGCTCCCAGACCATCAGTGTCGGGGCAAATACTTCCTCCATTTCAGTGTTGGAACCATCGCGAGCCTGAACCCGGAGCCCAAGAAGCAGAGGCCAGTTTCTCTGGCTCCTGTGCCGACTGTCTCTACACGGCGACGATGCCACCAGGCCCCACCCATGTCCCGGACCCCACTGGACATTTCGGACAGAACCCGGCTCTCGCTCACTCAGGATCCATCTGCACACACGTCCGAGTCTGAGAGGAGAGCCTGCGGGGCCACGTATCAGGGACCGTGCAGTGAGAGACGGAGCCGAGAGAGGGGAGGGCAGCAGAGCAACCGCAGGGGGAAGGAAGGGGCAAAACTAAGTCAAAACCATCCCGTCCCTTTGTCTGTCCCTCCAGTGCACAAAGCCGCCCCTCTACTCAGGCGAAACCGCCCGGTGTGCGGCGGGTCACCTGGCCTGTGCAGGTGGAGCCCCACACACTCGGCACCTGCCACACGGACCCTCTCTGTTGGAGACTTCGGTGTGGGTGTGCGCGCCTCACCGTCTCCTCTCTCAGGTGCATCCATTCACAGACGCTGTCTGATCGTGGACTCCCAGCTCACACCTGCCGCACTCACACCTTGTCTCTCCCCCGACCTGACCTCTGACCTGCCAGGCAATCCCTCAGCACCAAGGACCCATCAAATTTCTCACAAAGAGGGCCATTTACCACTAATAACCTACTTTCTGGGAATCAGGCACCGCATATTTGGGAGACACGGTGACTTTCTGAAAGCCGGAATGGTGTGATCTTACAGCGGAGAGAGTGTCGAGTCTCTCACCGCAATGGACAGATGCTTACTGAGTTGATTTAAAGATCACTTAGGGTGGCCCCTTTTCTTAAGTAAATAGCTGAGCAATCCATCCAAATTCACAAGGTTCATTTGCGGTATAACTTGGAGTAGTGTCCCGCACACCCAGCGTTCAGCTCAGAACCCACAAACTCTGGGGTCGCACAGAGTGAGAGTTTGAAGATCAGAGCGTGTGACAGAACCAATAAGTGGGCGAGCGTGGGACAGAACCAGTAAGTGGGCCAGCTGCTCAGTCTGCGGGGTCGTCCCGGGTAAGTCCCCTGGGGAACAAAGACCGCAGAGGCGGTGGTCTTTTCTCTCTGAACAGAAGGAACATTGGACACAACTTCAGTGCAATTACTGCAAGGAAATAATTTACCCATTATTGGGAACGCTGTGCTTTGAGTCTCGTGTCTTGAGAAATCAGATAAACTTAAATTTCAATAGCCGATTTAAAGCAGGTGGTGTAATTTATAACGTTGCTTAGGTTTGATATTTTACCCATTAGTCTTTGTACTGCAGTGCAAACCGAAACCCGGGGGAACAGCCACGACGCTTATTTCACACTCTCTTTTCTCCGCGCATGCGTGGCCAAGCCCCTCCGTTCCACCTGGCTTTGAAGAAACGTGTATCCCAGCTTGTAGATCAACACCTGACACAGGTGACTGAGGCAGGTTTTAACGTGCCAAGAAATTAAATACTTAAAACAACAAAAGCAGCTCAACCTACAACAAATGTCTTAGATCAAGACACACTTCAAGCCTTTGCCACCTCGTCTTTGAATTCTCCACTTTCAGTGGCACTGGGAGATGCGGCTAAAGCTGCTCTTGCCACCGACACCATGCAACTGATCAGATCCGGTTTTCCTGACCCCACCGTGTGCCCACCAGAGCCCTAACAGGCACTGACCATGTTGCCCGACCTCACACGTATGTTGGGGTGGTATTTGTGGTTTGCCGGTGACCCACCAAGTGGCTCTGTGACGTGGTGTGGCGTGTCCAGGGAGAACAAGAATCAATCAGCCATGTGTCAGCAGCACAACAGATCAGTGACGGGTAAGCCCACAGCCTGAAAACATCTGATCACTTTGCATCAGCTCTGGACCAAATCCAACCCTTACCTTGCTTGGCCGTCTTTGGGTGACTTTATAAGAGTCCAGGATGGTAGCACAGTCAGTTCCCGTGCCGTACTCAGGGCACGGAGGGCTCCCCCAGCCCCAGATGCCCGCACAAAGACAACTTAGGAACTTTGAAGTCCATGGCAATAAATATCAACGACCTTTTCGTAGCTAGCATAGCAAAGCGAAGAAACACCATGCATGTCAGCAATCCCCAGGGAAGGCGCGTGACCGAGCGTCGTGTGGGAAACACATCGCTCCGCGGCACTTACCATATGGAAGGCGCCTCCGTCCCGCTGATCTCCAAGAAGTCGTAGCCCTCCTCCAGCTGGAAGTCGGTGAAGACCAAGGCGATGGTGTCCCCGGGCTCGGCCAGGATGGTCCACGTGCAGTCGGCGTTGTTTCCGTACTCCGACGGGAAGTGCGGGCTGGAAATGCTGCTGCTCGTCCCCCGCAAGGTCCCCCCGCAGGCGCCCTCGGCTGCAGGGGACAGAGGGAAGGGGGGTCTCACACACGGGTGCATTGACAAAGGGTCACCCGGGAACAGGGACGGACAGTGCCTAGCTGAAAGCTGAGTCTCCGCCCGACTCAGGGGTTGTGCAGATTTGTTAACTGCGTTCTGTGGGAAAGCTTACAGAAGTCGTACAGTAACGTCACATTAGTCACCCAAGTGCCATCGTAGGAAAGACTGAACTCATGGCTGTCCCCAAATCGGGACTGTCTGATCGCTGCACACCTCACATCTCGGGACAGATGAACGGTTGTTCCAAAACTTGTCTCGGAACCTTGAGGGATGGAGAGAAGTCGGTGACATTCTGAGATCCAAATGTACGGTGCCATCGTTCCTCAATGCTTTGACACACATTTGAGAAAACGGTGCTCTTAAAAGCAGTTATCTATCTTTATTTTCTATAGAGTTTGGAATGTGTATTTGGTTTTGAACTTCAGATAATATCATAAGATGTTATCATAACAGAGACACCTTGATTCATAAAAAGATTCCAACTAGAAAATAGTTGCATGAAAATTTAAACTTACAGTATTTTGGGAAAGGACCAAGTATAAAGTCAATAAAGATGAAATACATATGATATCAATAAGCATTGTAATAAGGAGTAGAAGGAAGGAAAGAAGAGAAGAAAGGAAGGAAGGAAGGAAGGAAGGAAGGAAGGAATTATATTCGTAGACATATCTTAGAATATGTTATTTTACAAAAAAACTGATCTACCCTCTATACGCAATTGACTACATAGATAACATTTGGTAATACATGATGATACTTTTTTCCCCACCATAAAAAGCGCCCAATAAAAATAAATGGAAGAATACAGAACTTTCCTAAAGCAACTAACTGCCAGGATCTTAATGAAGCCTGAGGCCTCATCAGCCATGGTGACATTTTCAGCTATGTCACCAGTTTCTGAGGGAGCGATGTGGACACCAGAGACCCACACCCCCTCGCCCAGCCTCTCCCCAGGACACATGCATGAATGAGGACCAAGGGTCTCCTGAGAGGCTGCTGGGCCTCACCACCAGAGACCTCCCCCTAAATAGAACAGCCAGGAGAAAGCATTTCTTCTTTAACAGGATCATGAACAGGGGACACAGAGACTGTGGCTTCCCACGCTTGATGCCGGCCATGGGCATTTAGGGCCGGACCGTCCTCTATCCTGGGAGGCTGCCCTGCGCTTCCTGGGGGATTTAGCAGATCCTCACCTGTGTCCACCTATTGCCAAGAATAGTCCCCCATTTGTGATGACCAAAGTGCCCTGTGTCCCCAGCCCCCCTTCCCGAATGCCCCGCACTGCAGGAGTGCTTCGACCCCACAGGGCCTGGAGTTCTCTGGTCTTGCTGCTTGTCCCTTTCCCCGCTCAGCCCCTCAGGTCCTTGTTTGTCCCCTTGCCATCCTTAGCTTCCACGGCCATAATCCCAGGGTCAATAGCTCCGATTTGCATCCGAAGGGAAGCCGCACTTCCTGCCCTGCAGGTACATGTGACTGGAGAGAAACCGGGACCAGAAACATGCGCACGGGGCTAATTTCTACCGGACGGCCAGACCCAAACTGCCCTCGAGTGACGGCGTCCCCACTTCCTTTCGCCCCCTCTTTGGGGACGACCGTTTTGTAGCTTCTTCCTCAACCCGCCAGCATCGTCCACCACGTCCTCACTCCTGGGGTGATCTTGCCCCCATCACACTAAAACGAAAACTGAGAGGAACCTCACGACCGGTCACCACCACATCTGACCACCTGCACTTCTGCGGATAGAAATCGCGTCGGGACTGAGCCGTAGCCGCTGCAGCCCCAGGCCGACACCTAAGTGGCGGTCTTGCTCGCATCCCCAAGCAGATGGCAGCCAAAGCGTCACTGCTGTCTCCTCTCTTGCGAGGATCATTTCCCCTTTTTACGGCAGAGTTCTTTTCAGCACACAGACTTGTGATAGTGTTGCCCATTCAGGTTTTTTAGAAAAGCGACTCTGAAATAAATCACTATATGCCTTGCCTCTGTACACTTATTGCTAGCAATGAAACTTAAGGGTATAATTCAAAATACAGAAGAAAGCTTGTCTACCACCCGAGTCTGCATTCACCTCTAGCCTTGACTGTGACACCCCTTTCCCAGCAACACACCTGAAAACACCTGTCTGGGGCCAAGACTGCAATTTCCCACCTGCTCTAGAACCCTCTCGAGCCGTGACGGGCCCCGCAGCAGGCCTCTCAAGTGAGCTCTCACTCCCAGCTCACCTGTGCTCTTGGCCACATGTGATGGCCATCCCTTTCCTCCTCCTTAAAATACATTTTTCACTAGACTTGAAAAGCTTTCTTAAGCTTAAAATAATAGCAAATTCGTAAGAGGTTGCCAGTGTAGCAGAGCGGTGCTGTCTGCCTGGCGCGTCCACCCTGGCGTCAGCTTCCCGGGGCACGAGTGGCCCAGCACCACACGCGCTCTGTCCACCCGCGCTCTGTCTGCCCTCGGAGTCCGCCCTCGGCCCTTCACTCCCTTGTGGCCCTCAGCTGGTCCCCACCGCACGGACTCAGACACCACGTGTGTGCTGACAGTCTCCCAGTGTCTAGTTCAAGTCCAGATCCCTCCCCCTGATTCCAGCTGACTGTCCAACCGCCTGCATGACGTAGCCCTGTGGACAAGGGAGTAGCGTTCCAGACGCACCAGCTCCCGAATCTACCTCTTGGTCCTCCCCTTTCCAAATGTGACCTTGTCCCTCTTCTCAATCTCAGTAAATGTCCACTTGGCTCTTCGCCACGGTGCCATCGGTGACCCTTCTACCCCCTCACATCCCTCCTTGAGCAACAAAGCCCAGGGGGCCTTCCTTTGAACCGCACTCCGAACGCGGGCACATCTCCCCAACCTCGAAGCTGCCCCACCTCCCAGGCACCACCCCCTCCCGTCCGAACGCCTGTCCTGCCGTCCTGACCGCAGGACTTCCACCCTGCCCCTCCCCTCTGTCGTCTTTCCTCTGGGGGGTCCTCTTCAAGTCCAAGGGCAGCGATGCCACTTCTCATCTTAAAACCCTCCAGGGTCTTCCCCTTCACTCAGGATGGAAGCCCAAGTCCACACTAGGGTCCGCACGCCCTGCGGGATCTTCCCTGCCCACCTCTGACCTCCTCTGCGACCCCCACACCATCGTCCGCCCTGCCCTCGCCCTGTGCTCCGGTCTCAGGACCGGTGCCCTGGCCATGTCCCTGATCCGGGCCGTTCTCAGGATGCTCTCATGCACCTTGCTTCCCAGATCCTTCCGGGGCCAAGGACCCTGCTTTTGCTGAAGACAGGTGTCCCCGCACACGGGGCTTCGGGAGCCTAAAGCCCTCCCTGAGCCTCCGAGCCCCTGGTCGCTGGGGCTTGTCATCAGATGTGGTTTTGTTAACGAGAGCTCCTCTGAGCATGTGCTCCAACCAGCTGTGACACATTTAACTGGCTTTTCCTCGTTTCTGTATTTATGTCGTCTATCTCCATCCGTTAAAAAGTGACCTCCGACCAGCTGGCATTTTTTTGTTTCCTTCACTTGGTGACCCGCATACTAAGAACCAACAGGAGGGAATCACAGCGTGTAGATGGCGCAGCGTCCATCTGGTTTGGTAGGTAGAGTCTCACCGGCACACGGTCCTTCCGATCCGTCCGGGGCCGGTCTGTGGGGCCCTCCACTCCTCAGCGGTGCACACGGCAGCAGCAGTAGGCGCCGAGTGGCTAGCAAGGACTGGAGTGTCCACTCGGGAGCCCTGGACAGACATGTTTACTGGCCTTGTTGTTTACCATCTGATGCCTCGTGGGCCCCGACAAATGCTTCCTCCCAGGACCAGCGTGTGGGCGCAGACACTAAGCAGACATATTCCCCCGAAACCAAGGGGCAATTAAGGCAACTTGAGGGTGTCATTTTAATGCCACTGACTTCTCTCAAATTAAAAGGAAATACATCAAAACCCAGAGTAATTGTGCTGAAACTGCTTGCAGCCTGGAGTTTGCAAAGCACAAAGAACACTCCCACAATTCCTTCTTGGGAAATAATTAAATAGATGCCGAAACAATGCCGTGCACACAGAGACACTAATTATAGCATTATGTGCTGAAGCAAACATTGGAAACACTCGGTATGTTAAATTATGGGGAGAGAAATGCCATTAATTTGTATAATTTTGAGGATATGGAGAATAAAGTGTAGTCGGCGAAACGTAAAATGTTGCAGAGGCGACCCAGTAAAGTGGAGAGATGACGGGACGGCGCTCTCTGGCTTTGGCCTTGAAAGTGGCCTTGGCCTCTCGGCCTCCGCTCTCACTCGGCGCCGGCTCGTTGATGACTAGGAGCGATATGGGGACGGCCACCATCGACTGTGAGCACCCGGAGCTTCTCACGTAACCTATGCCAGGCCCGAGACACTAAAAATGGTACCAGCTCAGTTTAGCAGCTTCAGAACTGAGGGCTTTGTCAGTGTCCCAGGTGTCCCGGCCAGGCTGACACGGAGCCGGGCCCTGTGGGACAAAGTCCACCTGCTGCCGGGCACAGCGAATGCCAGCGACCTCCACGGGTGGGTTTCAGCACCAGACCCACATGGTCCTGCAACGGCACAGGTACCTGCATGGAGCACCGTCATGGGCAACGACCGTGACTTGACTCCCCCGAATGAAAAATAACTGGCCCAGAAGCCCTCAGGGTGGTGTTTAAACTCGTTCCAAGATCTCGTTTCACTTGCTAGTGTAAAGGAGAAGCGTCTGGCGGGGAGCCTGGGGCATTGTGGAGACGCCAAGCGTGGGAACCGGATTGACAACTGTCTCCAGTCGACCTCTGGTTTTAGTGATTCCTTTGCCCAGTTTTGCCGAGATTTACATCGTGCGAGAAAAGCACTGAAACTGAACTGTCTAAAGCTGTTCCAACTTAATGTACAGCCAGGTTCCTCCTATGAAGACGGTCCCGTGGATCTGCACGGCTCGGCCCCGACCGGGCGGCTCCCTGGAGACTCACTTTGCTGCGC